CCTTAGCCGCTTGAGCCACAGGCGCCGAGCCCAATATTTCACCAAATCTGAGATACTATTAATGAGAAGACCCATCCCAATTTCTGGTCAAAATGAAAAGCATGCCTCTCAGAATTTATGGAATATGGTACATCTTTGCACACTGGAATGATTTTGAGAAATCTTCTTAGAAGTAGAATTTCTGGGTCTGAGTGCATAAATATTTTGAATCGTAGGAGTAATCAAATGATTACATATTTTCAAATGATCTACAATTTTTCTTCCATTTACTAGGTATGAATGTGAGTTTATCCATTTATATCCCCTTGCTAGCTTTGGGTTTTATGATAATTATTTGTATCTGTTCATCTAATGGTCAAAATTGCATCTCACTTCAGTTTTAACTTGCATTATACAATCATTATGAGTTCAGACCAATTTTAACGTATTTACATTTACTTTACTTGTATCTACTTTTCTTTTCATACATTCTGACTTGCTAAGGTGGTGTTACAATGTCACCCTGATCTTGTGACTTTCTATGGGGAAGACATTTGAGGAGGAAGGCTTGTCTCTTAGGATCACAGGATCACACGTGCCAACTGTCCACAACTCAGTTTCTAGAAAACTGCCATTCGGACCCTTATCCGATGACAGATGCTGCCCATTTCAAAGCCCTGTGAGGACAACTGACTCCCTGTGTGTCCTTGGGCCCCCTCCTCCAGCAGTCTGGGAAGGGAAACCCGAATCTTGGTCATTCCAGATGTGCTACTGACAATCCCAACACCCTACCTCCTTACCGTTTGTAATCCACAACTTTAATTCTGGAACGTTCCCTGAGAGCTTGTCTATAACAGTTAAAATTGAAAATACCTCAAAGTCAATCAATAGGGAAGTATTTATGTAAATTATGGTATTGATAGATTGATTGATGAGCGAATAGGTGGCCATTAAAATTATATTGAAGTATGATATTTAATGAATAAAAATGTCTGAATACAATGAGAATTTGCACTTACAAAATATTATGAGTGTACACACGTGTATATAGTTATCCAGGGTGCCCATAAAGTTTGTGTGCAATTCAAAATAGTTTCAAATTTTAAACTGCACACGAACTTTATGATCACCCTGTATCTATACATCTATAGTCCTAAATATATACCTGTACTAACAGGTTTATTTCTGGGGTTGTGTATTATCTTGTTTTCATTCTTTGTTTCTAAGCACTTAAAAATGTTTGCAACAAACATGCATGCATAAATGATACTTCAGAAATTTAAAAAGTCTAAAGCTATAGCCAATATCACTCTTGATGCCAAATCACTAAAAATATTACCTTTTACTAATAGGATTAGTGTCAGAAATGAAAAGGATGTCTGCTGTCATGTGAATTAATATATCCTTGTGAATTAATACATACTTGCATTGATGATGTGAGTTCTCATTGGTGAGGAAATTAAAACACAGGCTGGTTTGATAACTTGCTCAAGATCAAACAACTAAGTAGGCAGTAAAGCCAGGACTTTGACCTACAGCACTGGTCATCAACACCATGCACTTAAGCGCTATAGTCTTTTATTATTACTATTTTTTATAAACATTGCTCTGGATGTTCTAGATAATATTAGAAAAATGGAATAAATATAAAAAGGTAATTATGTGAAGGGATATTAATTTTTCCTGAGACTCAAGAGAAACTGGAAACTATTAAAATCTCCTAGAAATATCAAGGCAGTAAGATAATTGGCTGAACATATCAGCAGTAAATCACACACTTAGTATTATTCCCATGCTCAGGAACAATATTAAGAAAAATGTTCAAAGTCTACATGAAGAAAATATCAAAATTCTGCTTAAGAAGGTCAAGTGCGGTGGCTCACGCCTGCAATCCTAGCACTCAGGGAGGCTGAGGTGGGTGGATTGCCAGAGCTCATGAGTTCAAGACCAGCCTGGGCCAGACTGAGACCTCATTTCTAAAAATAGCCCGGTGTTGCAGCAGGCATCTATAGTCCCAGCTACTTGGGAGGCTGACGATCACTTGAGTCCAAGAGTTTCAAGTTGCCACAGCATTCTACCAAAGGCAACGCAGTGGGACTCTGTCTCAAAAAAAAAAAAAAAAATTGTACTTAACACGTATTAGTTAACATGTATTAGACTTGAATAAGTTAAATCTTGCCATATTTTTGGTGAGGAATCTGAATATGTGTAACTGTTTTGTGTTAATGGCTTGATTGCAAAATCTTGCCATATTTTGGTGAGAAATATGAATATTTCACATGTGTAACTATTTTATGTCAATGGTTTTGTGCAATTCAAATTAAATGTCATCTAAAAACTGCTGTTAGTACTCTATAACTATTACTAGTCCCATCTAAGATAGCACATCAATGCCTGAATTTTACCATCATGTCACTTCATTTTCTTAGTTTTTGTCATGCTGAAAATTTCTGGCTAGTTTATTTGCTACCAACATTTAATATATCTGTAATGATCATTAAGAACATTATCAAATTATATTGCTATCCTAAAATACGTGGTGAACAAATTAATCAAAGTTAAGCTTTCTAGCTCGCTTCACTGATCTGGACTTATTTTCTTATTTTGCAGATTAGTCTTATGCTACAGACTTCAACTACCAATACTACAGAATTTAATTACCAATTGCAAAGCCATTTTCATAGTCATAATTATATTCTAGGCAATATTTTTTGGTCAGGTCCTCCAGTCTGCAGTCAATGTCATCAGCATCACTACAAAATGATGGGACCTACAAATAAAAAACAAAGAGGATAAAATGTAAATCATATCTCTGGGGGCTGTGATGAGCCCTTAGCTCCTCTGGACACTACTTCTCCACCAGCAGGAGGAAGGGTGGGTCCCGAGTTCTGCACGTTCCCCAGAAGTCTCCCGACCCTCCTCCCTTACAGCCTCCAACTGCCTAGACCACCCAGATTGGTCCCATGCCTTTCTGTCTCTGTTTATGTCACTTACCATGAGGAGCCCAGGCCTACTGGGACACCTTTTGCCTCTAAGCTTCCCCCTACATGGTTCTTTGGCTCCTTTTCTCTGACCCCATTTCCCATTCCCTCTGGTGCCCCAAACCTTCCTCTGCACCCTCTGAAGCTTATGCTCAGTAATCAGCAAATTTCCTATAATTTTCTACCCTCCCTCTTTATCTTCCCTTCATCTTTGCTCTAGATGAAACTTGACTTTCCATTTGAGGGAATATTTTCTATAAAAAAGTCTAGAAATTTCAGAAATTCCATAATCCAGGAATTTGGAGTAGGCGTGGAGAGGGAGGAGTGTCTTCCTCACTCCTCATTCCTGTTTCCAGGTCACATTCCCTCACTCCTTACTTAAAGCCTCACGGTCCTGAAGCTCATGCCATCGCCTATGCCACTCATTGGTCCTCCTTGTGGCAGGTGTCTGCAGCATGTCCCCACTCTGACTCACTCCCTCATTCCTGTTCTAATTCTTGGTGATTTCTGTAGCAACCTAGCTGATCCCTCCATCTCTTTAGATTCTTAGTTTCTTTTCCTCTTCTCTCATCTTCCAGCCTGTTTTGTCACTCACTCCCTGGTCATACCCTCAGACCTTGTCACTATCAGTAACTGTACCCCATTCCCTTCTCAGGAATCCAACAGTTCTTAAGTTCATCAGAATATGTAATCCATCAACCCTACTGCCTCCCCCTCAGCCCCTCATGTCTTCACTTCCTTATGCACCCATTGCAGGTGCCACAGTCTGTCACCATGAATGGGCCCTCCCTGCAAGCCGCCTCCTCGGCGTGTTGGCCTGGAGAACCCTTAAGCCCAGTTGATTTAATCATCCTGCTTTTCTACACTTGTGCCCACGTGGTCAGTTACGGCTCAACCCAACCCTGCTGACTGCCAATCCTACTACATTTCTTCACTATAAGAGTTCATGTCCTCTTAGAAAATAATTTTGCACTATATTCTCTCTTTACAAACCTCCAATGACACCGCCTCATTCTTACTCTCAGGTGATGCCTTTTTACACTTGATAAAACAGAATTCAGAAACGATCTTTCACACACTTCCACCACCATGTGCACCACTAGCTACATCTGGGCCCTTGTGTGCTCTGCCTCTTCGACCCCTCTCTTTGTCTAAAAATCGATGTCCAAGATATCATCAAGACCTACTGAATCTACCAAGCCACCCGCTCTCTAGTTTCCTGTGTTGTCTTCTTACTCTCTCCCCCACCCTATGCCCCTCCCACAGTCAAGGTCCTGAGTAAGCTGGTCCCCTCACACAGCTCTCCATCTCACTTAGAGTTAGAGGCAAAGTCTTTGCAGTGATTTTCAAGGCTTTCTCCAGTTTGATTTCTCTTTCCACACCCACTTCTTCTACTTCATGTGGTCTCTGATCATCTGTCCCTCATCCCATCATCCTCTCTGCTCTTGCCACTCTTATGACTTTTCAGGGGTTTAAAGTCCCAACTGCACTCCTGTCTCAGGGCCTTTGCACTTGCTATCCCCTCTGCCCGGAACATTCTTCCCCATTATGGATCATTGCCTCGGCCCTTCTGGTCTCTCGCCACACAGGAACCTGACTAGTGAGACTTCCATCTTCTGCTTTGTTTTATTCCACAGCGTACACCATTGACAGGCTGCACATCTCCTTTGCAATTTGCTTATTGTTTCTCTATTCATGACGATGTCAATTTCACAGTGCATGGGGTTTGGATTATTTTATTTAGATCTAAATTCCTAGTGTCTAGGCTAGTACATAGAGACTTACTAAATATTAATGAACAAATCAACATAATTAATAGCACTTTCTGATCCATTATACCACTTTTCATCTGCTACAATTTAGCACGTGATAAGACACTTGATAAAACTCACTTCCACAGGATTTTCAGTGCGGGTCCTACATAACACTTAAGGAACATTTTACCAGCTGGGATGGGCTATAATTAGTATGAGTAGATTGCTACCTTCCAAGTATAGGTCTATATGAATAGGGGCCTCATGACTGTAATATTGTCTCGGTTTAACAGCAATAATGACATTTTTTTCCTTTTTTGGAATTTGGTTTTATTAAGCAGATTTAAATAATTTTTTTTTCAGCAAGTGTTCATTGAATGGATGGATGGCAGTCAGTATGTCTAGTGTATTTACAACAGTGCCTGGCACAGAGAAAGCAGCACAATAAAATGTCGTTAGCATATAAGTGAAGAGCAACCCGCTCCGCTGGGCATACAAATATGTGTTTGGCTTGTTTCCCACCTTTAAGACGTTCAATATAGTTACATATATTGCTCTCCTCTCTTACGATGGCTAAAAAGTCCATGAAAATACAGGAAAAAAAATCTTTTAAATGTTCAGTTCCCTCCTTATCGTAAAGAAATGTCATTTACAATGTTTGGCGTCTTTGTCAGACCTGCAGTAATAAAGCAGGCATTCTCTAATGATGGGGTCCTGAGCTTCACTAATATTTTAAGGATGTTTTAAAAAATACAAAGCCATTTTCATGCAGATTTACTTATGATTCCTTCCAGAAGTCCACAACTTCTGAATAATTCTAAACATTAGCTACAAGGTTGCATAGCAAAGAAGAGGGACGTTGTCAGGATAGGAAATTTCAGTTGCAAATGACCCAGAGAGGCCAGGAAAACCTCACCAGCGTCCTGAAAACATGACAAGCAACAGAGGAGGACTACTGCTGACGTACCATTTTCCCCAGGGTGGTCTCAAAGGCTTCAGAAAACTTCTTCAAAAGATCTGTGTCATCGCAACGAGTTGCTTTGTACTGCATCTCAAAGGACTTAAACCCATGGTTTGCAAAACGTTTTACTGGAAAAGGTTAGACAGAACGGCTTCAGTTGGTTAGTGCTTTTAAAACAAAGGAGAAAGGGAGGGGAGGGGAGGGGGGAGGCTGGATGGAGGGAGAGTTATTGGCGGGATCATGCCTATGATTTATCCTATAAGGGTACATGTGAATCTTACTAAATGTAGAACATAAATGTCTCAATACAACAACTAAGAAAATTCCATGAAGGCTATGTTAACCAGTCGGATGAAAGCATTCCAAATTGTATATAGAAACAACCCACTGTACCCCATGATAGTATTAAAGTACACAGCTATGACTTAATAAAAAATAAAAAAACCAAAGGTGTACCTTTCTATGCAATCATGGAAATTTAGTATTTTAATTCGGACATGATTTGTGGGATTATTATAGAAAAATTGCTGTCATATTTCTGGGAGGTTTTGCAAAAATCCTGGCTAGCTCAAAGTTATTATATTTTCTATTTATATACATTGATTTATATCTATTTTACAACAGACAGACATTGGAAAATTTCTAAGTACTATTTTTGCGCAATTATATTCTTTGAAAGTGTAGTTCCCACAGGAATATATTTCTCTTTGGATCAGAAGCTTGCGTGGTTATACTCAGCAAAATGCCCCAAAGTATTCAGGGACAATGTTTCCTAATAGCGTCCTGCCACCCACATCAGTGAAACAGGTGAGTGAGTGGTGTTGTTTTTACTTGTTTCCCTAAAAGAACTCAGGTAAGTGAACTTCCCTTTTTTTATTCAAAACACTGGCATTTAAACTCCCATCTATGATATTAGATGAAAGATTCACTTCAGAGGGTATTTATGTACTTTAGACAAAGAATGGGATTATTTTTATAACAATATATATTTAATATTGTAGAATCCTTCTAAATCTAAATCAAATCTGGAGAAAATGTGACTGATGTATTTTATTCCATTCCATATTTTTGATCTTATTTTAAATACAAGCTCTTCTGCAGACTATGAGCCTTCAAACACGTCTGCAGGTCAAGAATTACACGCTGACCCATCTTCGGTTGTTTTTGACAAATAATGAAAGGGCCAAGAGGGTTCTGCTTAAGACTATCTCATCCTACAGCAATCCAATTTACAATCACCCTGGTGGCTAATACTTTAAATCCAAGGAAGGGCAAGTTTTGTATTCATAAGCATTTCAAATTTGCGGCACCATTTTCCACTAATTCCTATAGTAAGGCAATTTCCTGTTATAGCACTTGGAAATGTACACACACACACACACACACACACAGACACACACACACACACACATTCACACATTAAAGGTTCCAGAACAAGAACAAAACTGAAACTTACTGGCACAGTCCGGCCACTCAGTGGAATACGGTGGTCTCCAGATCCCATCCTCATAAGCACAGTAGTACTTCTCCATCGACCCTTCGGTGAAATCATAGCCCTCTAAGCAACTTAAAGTGCAGTTAACTCCAGCACTATCTTGAGCACATATAAAATCTCCGTTTATAGGTGTGAATGGCACTTCACAGGGAGAACCTGTACCCAAAAAAGTGTATGAGAAGCATAAATTAAACTCCAGGAGCTTAAGCTGAATTTTGAAAAGAACTCCTCCACTCTACAGCTATTTCTAGAGAAACTGTCACCATCAGTCCTTCGTGTAGGAGAGTGTCAATGCCTGTTTTTTGGTGCCTTGATGGGCTTGGGCCTATGTTGAAAAGCTGTATCTCTCTGTAATTAGAGGTTGCGCAGATTTTACAAAAAGCTAAAAGTATTTCTTTTTTATTTATTTTTATTATTTTTTATTTTTTTATCTTGTACAAGCTAAAAGTATTTCTAATTTGGAGTTATTATTTTTGTCATTCCTTTAATAAAAATGAAAAGTGGATAACGTGAAGTGGGTGCATTTTCAGAATCTGTCTCCTCAAGCATTTAAAATAGGGCTATGACAATCACACGTTGTCACCTGAGATAAAGGATTCCTAAAATGTTAATTAAAGATCTGATTAGAGGGTGGGCATGGTGGCTGATGCCTATCATCCTAGTACTTTGGGAGGTGGAAGCAGGAGAATTGCTTGAGCCTGGGACTTCTAGACCAGCCTCAAAAGCATGGTGACACCACCATTTCTACACAAATTAAATAATTAGCTAGGTGTAGTGGTGGGTGCCTGTATGCCTGTAATTCCAGATACTCTGGATGTTGAAACAGGAGGCTCACTGGAGCCCAAGTGTTTGAGGTTGCTATGGTCTAAGATAGTGGTCCTCAAACTTTTTAAACAGGGGGCCGGTTCACTGTCCCTCAGACCTCTGGAAGGCCAGACTGCAGGCCCTGGGACAAGTTGGCTGCTAAGCAGGACAGGCAGTGGCGGCAAAAACACCTGGTGGGATTATTTTTATAACAATATATATGGGATTATTTTTATAACAATATATATTTAATATTGTAGAATCCCTCTAAATCTAAATCAAATCTGGAGAAAATGTGACTGATGTATTTTATTTTATCCTGCGGGCCGGATAAATGTCCTAGGTGAGCTGCATGTGGCCCGCGGGCCATAGTCTGAGGACGCCTGATCTAAGATGACACCACTGCACTCTATCCCCAGCAATAGAGTGAGACTATATCTCAGAGAAAGGGAGACATTATTAGATAATGAGAACATAAATATTTTCTGCATTTCTATCTTCATGAGGTCAAGAAATGACAATTGGAAACCTGAATAAAATCTGCTGGTATTCTAACTTCAAAAATCTAATGCTCAGAACCTATCTTCTTTCACAAAACAGTGGACTACAACAATCACATGTAACAAATGTCAACTAGATTTGGGGGTGGGGATTAAGAAGAAAATACCTTTTATGACAATGTGGATGTCGCATGTCCTATTGTTGCCTGAGGGGTCAGTGGCCGTGTACCGCACTATAGTCTCCCCATGAGGGAAGAGCTCTCCTTGAGTATGACTTCTGGTGATGTCCAACACAGCCCCTAGATAGGAAAGAAAAGACCCCAGGGGGGGGTCATCAGTCTAAAGTCACTTTATTAGTCTCTTCTTTGATTTGACGTGTCATTTTCTCTTTATACAAGTCAGCTGGGCATTCTATTTATGTTGATTTGTACGCTAGCAGAAAATAAAAGATTTAGTATTTAAATGTACTATAACATAGCAATCATAGACTCAAAAATCCTATTCAGTTGAGAAATTTTTGCTGAACAAATGATTTTCTTTGAATAGGTCAGTCTATAGCAGTGGTTCTCAACTTTCTTAGTACCCTTAAAATACAGTTCTTCATGTTGTGGTGCCCCCCAACCATACAATTATTTTCGTTGCTACTTCATAACTATAATTTTGCTACTGTTATGAATTTGTAATGTAAATATCTGATATGCGGGAGACCCCCAAAGGGGTGGCAACCCATAGGTTGAGAACCGCTGGTCTACTGGAACACTGGGAGTTTAAGAAATCTATTTAATTAGTATTTTTATTGTTGTTTTGGAGTTTTCATACAACATTGACAGTGAACTTCAGGTTGCATTTGCTCAGGTATTTTCCTGCTTCCTATGACCTTTTATAATGTGTCAGGTTATGCTTGCAGGACAACATGAGCTTAGAGATGGAAGACATTCATTAGAACACTTTTAGATATAATACCTAAGTGCTATTAAATATTGAATGAAGGAAAACCTCATGAATAGGTACAAGTAATAATATTAAATTATATTTATTCTAGCATTAAAACATTAATTTATATAATTGTTCATTCTACTTAGACAGTTGTCATTTGCCTTTTCTCTTTTATCCTTTCAAAAAGCTTTTTTACAATAAAATAGAATTCAGTGTTATGATGCTGACGACAAAATCCTTATCACCATACCTGAGTTGTCCGAGAACTGAGGCTCATCCCAGCTTGCGGCGTGCTCCTTTTCCGACACCTGGATGGGAGGTGGAGACCTGCACCAGTCTATGACCGGTGGTTCTACATCTGAAGAACATGAAACCAGACAGAGAAGTCATAAGTGATATTTTGAAATGATGACAGGATTTGCAAGAAAGAAGGGAAGTCTGCTTGTGCAGGCAGAGAGTCTTATAAGAAACAAGGCTGATCCTGTGGCTTTGTTGATGACATCTTATTTCTGATCCCTAAGGCCAAAGAAAGAGGTGCTTTTTACTCTACTGCTCTCTCCCTGTTGGAGAAGAAATACCAGGTTCCTGAAATCACCTTGAGCACAGTTGTGCATAGGCAAGTCTGGATGAGGTGGGCATTTAATTTGTGGACGCTGCCCACAGTTGTCAGACTGGCCCACTTGGAAGTGGGGAGGATGGGGGCCACAGCAGGGACCTCCATGATCCTCCTCTTATCTGAATAGTCAAGGCAGGAGATGCTAAATGGAAGGAGATATGAGTCAGGTTGTAGAATAAGCAAGACGTCAGTGTGGGTGTGAGATTCCTGGACAGCCAGGAGGTCATGTCCAGAGCCGGGACACTGGAGTTACACATTTCTAAGGCTGATAAATTCTAGGTGAAGGCAAAGACCAGAATGTGAAGCTGGAAGTGGGGGAAGAGGAGGGAAGATGAAAGCCACAGTAGAAGCTAACAAACGGAGACTGTGCTGCTGAGTCAGGAATCCAGGGTGAAGGGTGGGTGCATTAGAGGTGGGGTGAATGAGTCCGATTTCAAAGTCCTGCTGAGTGTGGGAGAGTTTTTAGGAATTCAGTGAGGGACAACAACTAGGGTGTATAGAAGTAATTTAACACAATTACAGATTTTGTCCTCTGCTTTTGAGGTTTGAGGGAGACAAGACATATGTTTTTCTAATTTTATAGGTGAGGACTGTTAGACTAGGCTAACTTAAGAAACTTGCCTGAGGTTATTAAGCTACTAAATTGTAGGCACCGGTGCCAAGACCTGGATATGTCTATCCACGATGAAAACACATACTCTGAAATTCAATTCTCCTATACCTATGAGAATATCTAGATTCTGACTTAAAGCTAAGTCTTATGGATACAGTTTCCATTTTTATCCATGCTTGTCATTTTATTAGTACAGCATGTTAGATTTATTGCTCTACTAGACTATAAACTCTGCAAATCAGTCATGGAGTCGCTTTTGGTCCTGGTTAAGTCCCCAGTAGACAGGACATCACGTGGCCGGTAACAGCTGCTCAAAACCAGTTGTGGAATAAAGAAAAGAATGGAGAAATTCTCCAGGTCATGGTACTTGGAGAATGCTGAACCAAATCTATGCATAGCTAAATTTATAAATCTGGCAGTATTAACTATTTTCCCAAAAGACATGACAAATGGACAGTCCAAGATTTTCTTAAGCTTATCTCATTTTAGCCAAATATTTTAATGTTGTATTGCAGGTATAGGAGGGCGGGAAGACTCAGTCAATGACTGTCAAGAGAATTGAAGGGACTAAAGCAAGGGAACCAATATTCCTGCCTATCTCTCATTTATCAGGACAACAAAGATAAGAAAAATGTAGGCTTTGGGATCTTTTTTTAGGTTTCTGTCTCTGTCTCTCTTTCACCCCTTACTGTCCTTCCCCTTCCCCCCCCCTTTTTTCTTCCTTCCCTCTCGTTCGTAACTGAACAGTCAGTGAAAGTCTAGCTAGACACTCCAGTACACATTTCACTTTTCTCTATGTTGACTCTTCATTATGAAAAATTAAAACTTGGCAAACGCTGTGAATCACACTGCCAAGTTTAAAATCACAGTATCAGATTAAAAAAATCCAACATATTTTTCACGGAACTGGTAAAGCTCATGTTTAAAACAACATTGAAAAGGCAATCCAAAAAAATTTGAAGCACTGTGAAATGAGTTAGACTGATTTTTATATAAATCTTATCTACTTTTACCAAAACTATAATTTATAGGATGAGGAATCAGTTTGACGTACATTAGTTATTTCAAGATGTTACACAAAATTTTGAGAACAAAATGAATGGAATGTATTAAATTTTAAAATAAACATATTAAAAATAGATCTGTGGCAAATACAGCAAAACGTCTATATATCACGATTGCTAGATTTTACATAGAGCTTAACATGTGTCAGGCACTAGTTCAAATGGTTTGTATGTTGTAACTAATCAAAAACCACATAATAACCCTATGAGGTAATACATTTATTTAATTTATATAGTTATAAATAATGTAATATTTATTTGATTTATATATAATATTTAATTTCTATACAAATATTAATTTATATAATTATAAATAATATGATTTATTAATCCTATCCTATTTGGGGGTAAAGAAAGTGAAGCACAGACAGGCAATTAGTCATATTGCCTTTAAGTGATGGGGTGAGATATAAACCCAAGCAGTTTGGGTTCAGAATCCATGCTCTTGACCACTACAGACTACTACAGTTCCTGCCTCTCCAATATTATACCTTGGTAGTGGGCAGAAAGACCAATTGGGCAATTATACAGTAAACCAGGCTTCCCCCCCACCCCCAAAATAAGATTCAGCTACAGTAACAGTTATGAGGACAAAGAGAACAGGCCACACTTCAGAGACATCAAGGAAGTGACACCAGCACAGTAGGCTGCTTTATTAGGTATCAGGGATGGCGGAATCAAGGATTTCCAAGCATTTTTGCTTGGTCGTTGAGTAGTTGGTTGAATGCTTTTCTGAGTTAGGAAATCTATTAGGTGTGAAGTGCAAGTGAAACATCTGTTCGGGAAAGTCCAGGGGGCAGTTTTACATATCAGTTTGGATTTCAGAAAAGAGATTAGAACAAAGTCACCCTGGGAAAAAAAGAGAAAGAGAAAGAGAGGGAGAGGCAAGGCTGGACCGCTGGAGATGATCATTTGAGAGCTGGTCTGAGGAAGAAAAGCCTCAGAAAGAGGTCAAGAGACGTGGAAGAAAAATGGGGAAAAGAACAAAAAAGACTAGTGTGAACGAAGCTTGCAGTTGGAGTAACAACTGCAGGTTACTGGTGACCTTGACGACAGCAGTTACATGAGTGAGGAGCACAGAAGCCAGACTTGAACAAATTGAGAGTAAGTGGCAGTTAAGAAGAAAGAGATGGCAATCACTAGAAAGTTCTCAAAAGGCCCACATGGGAAGAAATCAGAGAGAAGCTGGAGTAGTTAAAGGACATGTAGGTTCAAAGAGGAAGTGGCTTGAGTGAATTCCAATGCCAGTAAGAAGAATCAGTGTAAAGGGGGTTGTTGGAGATAAGAGAAACAAAGTCCCCAGGGCGCTGGATTGTTTTCATGAACCTACACAATGACTTACCAATAACCTTGATACGGAAAGTACAGCTGGCTTGGTTGCCGGAGAGGTCAGTTGCTGTGTATGTGATAGCAACATCTCCAATTGGGAAAAGGTAAGGTGGGGTGAAAGCTGGATCAACGTGGATGGACACCTTTTGGAGATAAATAAATGTTTTGAAAGTTAATGTCAAAAGTACATTGATTTCTTCCTTTCTGAAACAGTTTCATCTAAAACATTGGTTCTTGTTTGATTTATACGTTGTTAATGAAGTAATGCTAACTGTGGTTCAGTATTCCATATAGAAGATAAAAAAAAAAACTTAGGCACAGCCTTCTGAGGTCTTTCTTTGCAGATTATTCTATTCACACAGTTTATGGAGTTGGCACCCATATGAAATGTTGTTCTCTGTTTTTTAAACATAATATTTTAAGACACTTTTTCTGCTCTTATACAGCCTTTACAACCCAAGATGACTTTTCAAAGTTCCCATGATGTTCTGTAGAACAAATATATGATAATTTCCTTAAGAAAAATTTGTTGAAGGACATTAGTTTGGTACCAAATTTTACTCTAACAAGGACAGTTTTGCAAAGACAATTTAAAATCTTTTCTTTTTCTTCTTTTTCTTGATGTGTAATAGATATGCATAGTTTGGGGAATGTGTAATAATTTAACAATTCACATAATTTGTAAAGATCAAATTAGCATATCTGGGATATTCATTACCTTAAATTCTTGTCATTTCTTTATGCTAGCACAGTGGTTCTCAACCTTCCCAATGCGGCGACCCTTTAATATAGTTCCTCGTGTTGTGGTTGAGGGTCATCACAACACAAGGACTGTATTAAAGGGTCACGGCATTAGGAAGGTTGAGAAACACTGTGCTAGAACCATTTGAATTCTTCTCTTCTAGCTATTTTAGAATATACAATAGACTAATATAATTATGGTCACCCAACTGATCTTTCTAACACTAAGTCGAATTTAATCTATTAAACCACACATTTGTACCAATTTCTCTTCCTCCCCTCTTCCCACCCTTCTTGGCCACCAGTCTACTGTCTACCTTAATGAGATTTGCTCTTCTAGCTCCCACATGGGAGTGAGAATTTGCCATATTCTTTCTGTGCTTGGATTTCACTTATTATTTCCTTATAATGGCTTTCCATGACCTGAGTTATGAACCTCAAACACTTAACATTTTATTAGTATAATAAAATAATGCAAGATTTCCCAATGCCTGGTAGCAAACTGCAATCCTATCATCAATGTTTTATAATATTGGTCTCAAAGTTCCCAAAGTTTTCTGAATCTGTATCAAATAAACTTTCTGGTAATTCAAATATACAGCACCAGGTCATTATTTTAATTGACAATTTCATAATGCCTTTATGCTATGATTAAATTCTCATATTTTTATGATATTATACTTTATTATTCATTTTTGAATTACATATTTACCTTCTTCAATTATTTAAAAAGTGTGATGCAATAAAAATAAATATTTTAATTATGTTTTTCTCTTGTGTGGGCATGTAGTTGTTCATTAACTGGTTTCATATTAGTTTTTTTATTTTTTATTTTTTAGTTTTATTTTTTATTGTTTGGGATTCATTGAGGATACAAAGAATTAGGTTACATTAATTAAATTTATATGATTGAATTTGTTGGATAAAGTCCCTCTTGGATTCATATTAGTATTGAGTACATTGGATACTTGCTTTTCCATTCACTAAGGAGATACTTCACTAAGGAGACTGTGCTTCAACTCCATCCAGGTTAATACAAAAGATTTAAAGTCTCCATCTTTTTTATGGCTGAGTAGTACTCCATGGTGTACATACAC